AAGTTACCACGGCCCTGAAAAATGTGACTTCACGACCGTTCTTCGTGCAGCATCCCCACGATCATGTGATCAAAAACCAAAGGCTAGGCAACGGACTCGCCTTTGTGACGGTTGCTGTGATCCGGCGATCCCCTTTTTGTGACCTTCTGACAAGCAAGGTCAGAATGGGGGAAGCCAGGTTCGCTTAAAAAACCCGCGTTACTAACTTAAACAACTGCAGCGATTCGCTTAACGACTGCGACAAGAGAGGTCGTAAAACGGGAAGAACCTCACTTAACAGGTGTCTTGTTTAGAAGCAGAAATGTTAGGCTCAGTGGTGGCCGTAAGCCGAGGACAACCTGCAGATAGATGTAAATGTATGGCTTCTGGAACCTGGCTAAGTGGGGTTTTGTGAAAGCGACAACACTCGGAGAAAAGTTGTGGGTTTCTCCCGTGGCCAGGCCGAACGGCCAGTGCCTCTGGAAGCATAAAATGTGTCACTTAATGAACAACTCTTAAAGTCACAAGGCGCTGTAGCTGCTGGTTTCACGGAGCAAAGGTTTATAGCCATTTCTGATAAATTGTTCCACTCTGCAAAGATAACAGACCGGTTGGAGAAAAAGCTGCGATCAACAGATTTAAAAACTGGGCAATAAACCACTTTTCAAAGGCTTTACCACAAAATGACTAGACCTCTTAACCGCTTTTCTGCTTCCCGGTTGAAAAGAAGAGTAAAAGCAGATCTGACATTTTATTTTATTTTATTTTATTGCAAACTGAAGTCCTGGCATATTTCCCCCCCCCCCAGATACTTATTAAAACCGTTCTCTTTTCAGTATTTAAAAGATGAAGACGATGACCTTGTATCTCCGCCTAACACGGATGGAAACCAGTGGTTTAATTTCCTTCAAAATAGCAACAGCCTTAAAGGTACAGCCTGGTTTTAATACGAGATCATTGACAAGGGCCAAAGCAAAAGGAAGTTGTGCGTCCTTTAGAGATGAAGTTTGGGGTGTTTCAGGGTGTTGAGGTGTGAAGGTCTTAGGAGATGGGTTAGCGTTAGCTGATCCTTTGGTTCTCCTGCTTTCTTGGGCCTTCATATACCATTATTCAGGGTCTTGCATTTTGGAAAGTTAATAATAATAATAATAATAATAATAATAATAATAATAATAATAATAATAATATAATAATAATAATAATAATAATAATAATAATAATAATAATAATAATAATAATAATAATAATAATAATAATAAAGTTGGAAGGGACCTTGGAGGTCATCTAGTCCAACCCCCTGCTCAGGCAGGAAACCCTATACCATTTCAGACTGTACTTCCCCCCCCCTACATTTCAAGTGCTATTGTGTTCCCGTTGGCCTTCCCACGGTTAACATTTTGCAACGTTTCATTTACTCTTCAAAGGGCTTAGTTGCTTCTTGCTGTTCTCTGAACGTCTTATAAAATTATAAGAGGAATTAATTCTGTGAATCCTTCAATTGGTTTCACTCAATTGAATACTGGATGCAGTGCTCAAAGCAGCAATGTGAGTTTTGTTACTGCAGTTGTGATTTATTTAGAAAAAAAAAATTACACAGGACACCATGCCCTAAGTGGAATTTCCTCCAATGGGATTTTTCCATGTATTTTAGCAGGAAACACGGATAGGGTAGCCTAGAAAAGTAAGTGCCCTCCTAACCATACCCAAGAACTCCGAATTTGTTGGCGATCTCCATTTTGCTCTCCGAGTTCATGTAAGCCTTTAGAACAAGTAAATTAAATTTAATATTCTGTCGCTGGTATAAGAAAAGCTGCTTCTGTTCATGGGAGGAATTGAGCCATATTTTTTGTCCGCAAAACCCCAGCTTGTTGGAGGCACTTTTAATAAATAAATGAATTCCACAATTGTCTCTGAGTTATTGTACATTCTGGCCCATTACGCAACGGAGATTAATTCTGAAAGGGAAACCGCTCTCTATTTGTACCTGTATAATAGAGAAGGCAAATAAAGATCTGAAGAAACTTTCCTACTTTAGAGTAGGAAAAATAATCTAGTAGATACTGCTAAATGTGGGTAATTATTGGATGGAGGAATTGATTACAGAATAACAGAGTTGGAAGGGACCTTGGAGGTCATCTAGTCCAACCCCCTGCTCAGGCAGGAAACCCTATACCATTTCAGACAAATGGCTGTCCAGTCTCTTCTTAAAAACCTCCAGTGTTGGAGCATTCACCGCTTCTGGAGGGAGGTTGTTCCACTGGTTAATTGTTCTCACTGTCAAGAAATTTCTCCTTAGTTCTAGGTTGCTTCTCTCCTTGATCAGTTTCCATCCGTTGCTCCTTGTCCTGCCTTCGGGTGCTTCGGAGAATAGCTTGACTCCCTCTTTTTTGGGGCAGCCCTGAGATACTGGAATGCTGATATCATGTCACCCCTCGTCCTTCTCTTCATTAGAACACACATACCCAATTCTTGCTAACGTCCTTTATATGTTTTAGCCTGTAGCCCCCAATCATCTTCGTTGCTCTTCTCTGCACTCTTTCTAGAGTCTCAACCATTAGGCTGAGATAGTGTGGAACTGACTACCTTTAAAACAAACTTTGTTTGGCTGGCAGGCTGAAGAAGCGCCTTTTAAAGTTTTCAGCGGGAATGGCCCATACAAACAATGGTTTTGCCTATCGATTGTAGTTTTCGTTTTGTGACCACTGCAAAAAGGTAGTCAAAAACAGATCAAGTCATTTTATGACCGTCAGGACTTCATGACCATCACGGGCAAGCTCCACTAGGATCATCAGTCAAGGATCATCTATATCAGGGCTGTCAAACCCGCCACGTCACGTGACGTGTCGTGACGTATCGCGACTCCGTTGCCGGCAATCGGGTGGGCGTGGCTTCCGTGTGATGAAACCGGCCCGCGGGAGCGGCAGTTTGACACCCCTGATCTATAACGTTAAAATGCTTATTTTTTGCTTAGGTTCACACACTGGTTGCCTTCCATAAAGTTTCTCACAACAGAAAATGTGTCATTAAAAAATGAAACCTTTTCTCGCATGTGTCGATAATTTGACTTTTTTTTTTTTAAATGTTGTTTAGAAAGCCCGTTGCTGTTTCCATACTACCCTCAGAAATCGCTGCATTTTGTAAAGAGGAGAATGGAAGCAATCATTGATCAGTGTCTCCAGAAACCAGCTGTGAGTATCTAGAGGTCTATCAGATTTGGGTACGGCAAGCCGTCCAATTGATTCTCAAGCTTGTTTAAATATAGATAATTTTATTATGGTCCAAGACCAAGGAGATTAAAAAAAAGTTTCTCATACACAAGGAATTATAACATCTGTCCTATTGCAACCCCATGGGGCCATATTATGATTATTTTATTGGGATTTTGCTTTCGCTAAATATTTTATCTCATATATTGTATTATCCACATAGTTATCTGTCTGTCTGTCTGTCTGTCTCTGTCTATCTATCTATCTATCTATCTATCTATCTATCTATCTATCTATCTATCTATCTATCTATCTATCTATCTTATCTATCTATTTATCTTGATGTCTTGATATCTATCTATCTATCATCTATCTATCTTGATATCTTAATATCTTGATATTTTGATATCTATCTTGATATCTCAATCTATCTCTGTATCTTTCTATCACCTATCACTGTCTGTCTGTCTGTCTGTCTGTCTGTCTGTCTGTCTGTCTGTCTGTCTGTCTGTCTGTCTGTCTGTCTGTCTGTCTGTCTGTCTGTCTATCTATCTATCTATCTATCTATCTATCTAGGTATCTTGGTATCTTGATATCTATCTTGATATCTATCTATCTTGATATCTATCTTGATATCTCTCAATCTCTGTATGTTTCTATCTATCACCTATCTATCTATCTATCTATCTATCTATCTATCTATCTATCTATCTATCTATCTATCTATCTATCATCTATCTTCTATCTATCTATCTATCTATCTATCTATCTATCTATCTATCTATCTATCTATCTATCTATCTATCTATCTATCTATCTATCTATCTATCTACCTACCTACCTACCTACCTACCTACCTACCTACCTACCTACCTAGTCTGTCTATCCATCCATCAACTATCTATCTATCTATCTATCTATCTATCTATCTATCTATCTATCTATCTATCCATCCATCCATCCATCCATCCATCCATCCATCCATCCATCCATCCATCCATCCATCCATCTATTATCTATCTATCTATCTATCTATCTGCTTTACTTAAACGCATGCTTTTTATTAGTGTTGCATATCTGTGATTGCCTGACCTCCGTAAATGCCATACACTAAATGTATAATAAACATGGAAGGAAAGAAGAATTCATGAAAGAAGTGGTGAAATTTAAAACAGAGCCGCAGAATTGGGATTAAACCTATGGGTCACCTGCAATCCATTTGATTACTTCTAAGCATAGGCCCAGATATCTCTCTCTAAGAAATATCCAGATTTGATCAAAGGAGAGTGGTGTAAAAATGAGGCAAATCCAACCAAGAAGTAACTTAGAAGTGGTGCTGTTAATAAGTGCTGGGAATTCTTAGACAAGGAACGGCATAAATAAAATACTTGCACGTGGCCCTCAGAGATAAGGACAGGGTAGAGACACCTGAAAAATCTACCTTGCGTTACTTTGAAAGGAAATTAGAAGATATCCAGCATGGAATAAAAATGGGGTTTAGGAGAAGGTGCTCTTATATTGCAAACTGATGGAAAGATTGGGCTTAAATTTAGATTTTCCTCGCTCTGTTGCACTCACTGAGCTTCTGTCTTCTGGATGTCCTTCCCAGAAGGTAGGACAACGAGGTCACAGTCCTGTCCTTGAGTTCAAGCTGAGGAAAGCTCAGATTTAGGAAAAGTAATGCCCAGTTCCATTTTTTTTAATTATCCCCGGTTCTAGCAGATTCCACAAAAATATTAGCAGGATTTTTCCTTCGTTCCTTCAGGTAAGGCCATTCTTAGGAAGAAGGCTCACATCATCATCACACAAACGGCATAAATCATCACCAATGCTATAAAACTAAGACAAGATTAACATAAATTTAACTGTCCCATCCAGACTACTTCACTTGTAGTGAACTTAGCCGTTATTTTGGTGGATGGGCTGGAAAGGAAATTGGTCCGTTGAATCAGACGCCCACTAAATTGGGGGGTCTGTTAAATCAGAGATTCGTTGTAGATTTCTGACTTAAATCCTTGAGAAGGAAGCACTGACAACAATTAACAGGCGTTCCAGTCTCCTTTATTCCCACAGAGCCAGTTCTTTTATTACTATGCCAGGACTATTGTTTGTGTTGCTGCAAGTAATTCTTTTTATTACATATTTGTAGATTTATTATTTTTAAAATCGTTCTCTCCTCCAGGATGTGATCGGAAAAACCGTCCATCAGGCCTTTTGCATGCCTTTGTACAGAGCCTCAAAAAGGTGGGCAATTTATTTTATTTTACTTTGTCTATTTCTGTTACTACAGTTCGTGATTCTACTCAGTCCAATAAAGATCAAAGCACCTTTACAGATAATTCTCGACTTGCAACCGTTAGCCACTAATCATTTGTTTACTGATCGTTTGAAGTTACAACAGCATTGGGAAAAAAGTGTCTTAATGACCATTTTTCATACTACATGCTGCTGTCGTGTGAAGACAGTCAGTCATAAGTCACTTTTTTTTCAAAGTTGTTGTAACTTCGAACAGACACTAAACAAACTTGTCAGTTGAGAACTGCTTGTAGCGAATCAGTTTTCTGCTTCTACCTAGCCCACACAGTTGAGTAGGTTATTTTGACGATTTCTGAGCCTCTTTTTTCTAAATATTTTACCGGGTTAAAAATCTTGACGTTCCTTCAGCCTACTGCCTTATGTTTACAAGTGGACTTGATATGGCTGTATAAAAATCCCTACAGTATTTACTTTAATAATAATAGTAATAATAATAAAGTTGGAAGGGACCTTGGAGGTCATCTAGTCCAACCCCCTGCTCAGGCAGGAAACCCTACACCATTTCAGACAAATGGCTGTCCAGTCTCTTCTTAAAAACTTCCAGTGTTGGAGCATTCACCTCTTCTGGAGGCAGGTTGTTCCACTGGTTAATTGTTCTCACTGTCAGGAAGTTTCTCCTTAGTTCCAGGTTGCTTCTCTCCTTGGTTAGTTTCCACCTGTTGCTTCTTGTCCTGCCTTCAGGTGCTTTGGAGAAGAGCTTGACTCCCTCTTCTTTGGGGCAGCCCCTGAGATACTGGAAGGCTGCTATCCTGTCCCCCCTCGTCCTTCTCTTCATTAAACTGGACATACCCAATTCCAGCAGCCGTTCCTTATATGTTTTAGCCTCCAGTCCCCCTTTAGCATACACAGTACGCGTATGAAAACTCCACATCCTTTGCTAATTTTTTCTTCCCTGTTTTAGTGAGGACTCGACCCCTCAGCTGCTTAAGCTTCCCTTTTTGTGAGTATACGTGTGCTTTATTACAGTCGGTTCCATACATCACAGATGCTTCGTTGCTCACAAACGGTCGAAATTATTTTTTGCAGGTGGCACGACAAATCGTACAATTTGCATTACGTTTTATTCACCATGTTAGAGAACTCGGTTTCCAAACTCTACATCTTGAGAAGGCACACCGACATATCAAGGTAACCTTAGCATTGAGCGTGTCTTGTTTTCTTTCTTCGAACACAATTCTGCCAAAAACATCTTCGGAAAACCTTCCAGTATCCGTTTTGTGTTTTTTTTTCTTTTCTTTTTCTTTTAATAGATATTTTATTAGGTTTTTACAGTTACAATCTTTAGTGCTTCATAAACAAAAGTGTTGTCTGGGTCCACATATTTAGCATTAAAAGTAATACACCTTCCATTCCAACTCTCTACTCCGTTTTTCTAGCCATTTGTAAAAATTATATCATGTTTGAAATATTCTGTATCTTTTTTCCCTTTCATTTTCAATGTAAGCCTGTCCGTTTCAGCACAGTCCAAAATTTTTTCTAGTTATATCTTCTTCCGTTGGTGTTTCTTCATTTTTCCAATACTGTGCAAATGTTTTGTGTTGTTTCCCCCCCCCCCCCGATGTTTAGATCCACTAATAACGGGCTGCTTGCTGTGGAGTTTGGGAATTTCCTGAACAAAAGTGTGAACGAAAGTAAGGAAGCAAGGTCAGTCTATGAAAACCTTCCAAAATCCGACTAACTTAATTTGAATGATTCGTTGAATTATAAAAATGTTCAATTGTGGTGTGTTGGTTAATGAGGACTAGCTCAGCTCTACAACCAAGAACTTAAAACCTGGCTAAAATAATAATAATAAAAAAATAATGTTAACATGTAGAAATGAATAGGTGGAGAAACAAATACGACTTACCCTAAACAATTTGTTTAGTGACCATTTGAAGTTACAACGGCACTGAAAAGAATGACATGACCTTTTTTCACACTTACCACCTTCGCAGCATCCTGGTGCTCATGTGATCAAAATTCAGACGCTTGGAAACTGACTTGTATTTATGACGGTTGAAGTGTCCCCGTTCACGTGACCGTCTTTTACGGCCTTCGGACAATGGGGAAGCCAGATTCACTGAACAACCGTGTTATTAAGTTAACCACTGTGGCAAAAAAGGTTGTAACATGAGGCAAAATTCACTTAACTGCCTCGCTTAGCGACAGAAATGAGCTCAAATGTGGTCGTTAAGTGGATCTGGCTTCCCCCGTTGACTTCGCTTGCCAGAAGGTCGCAAAAGGGAGTCAGTCACATGACCCCAGAACATTGCGACCGTCAAAAATATGAACCCCGTTGTCAACGGGCTGAATTTGGATCAGCCTGACCCTCCCTGGAGATGCTGCAACGGTCGTAAGTGTGAAAAAAAACGGCCTTTTTCAGTGCCGCTGTAATTTTGAACGGCCACTAAACGACACTCTCCCAAATCTGTATGTCTGTGTGTGAAACGTGATGTTAATTTATTTGGAGCCCAGCTCCTACAGCTGTCTAGATGCTCACTTCTACGACAACGAAACCATCACCGTCATCCTGGTGGAAAATTCAGAACAGGAGGGGAAGGAACGGCTTTTGGCTCAGCTGCCCCTGTCCTCCATCTGTAGGGAGCAGAACCAGGGAATGGAGTTCAACTGGAATTCTGGTCAAAGGTGAGAGAGACAAAATGGGGATGCCATTTAGTCTTTTCGGGTTAACTGGTCCGTTTATTTATTTGAAAGGTCTCTATATCAGAGTTCCCCAACCTTCTGGGCTGGTGAACCCAACTGGGGCAGGGTGGGGGGCGGGAGAGGGGATGGTTTTGTGGGCGGGGCAGGTGCATGCGCACACCGTTGCTTTCATGAGCGGGGCTGAGAGCACCTGTGACGCTCGCGCGAGGGAGGCCGCGAGCGTCTGCGACCGTCGCAGACTGTTGTAAGTGGAGGACTGCCTGTAAGGTTGTTGGGGCATCTTTGGCAACGGGGTCAACAATGTGCGTTCCTCTCATTTGGCTTTCGTCTGGATGCCAGGCTAGACCTGCAGCGGGACGGCATCCCTACATGTACGGTCACCGCGGAGACTCAATGCAGGGTGCTGGAGAATATGAAGGCTCACTATGTCACCGTGAACGGTATCCGGAAGGTGTCTTGTGTGGTGAGTGTCATCTTCAAGGATGACGTACTTGTCCGATGGTACAAATGGGTTGTCTCCTTGATGGTTGGGTTGTTAGGAAGCAGAATGGGATAACTTGGTGAGGCCAACCCACCATGGCCAACTTGCCGTGGCCAGCTCACCGTGGTCAACCCACTGTGGCCAACTCGCCATGGCCAATTCACCATGGCCAACTTGCCGTGGCCAACTCATCATAGTCAACCCACCATGGCCAACTCGCCATGGCCAATTCATCATGGCCAGCTCACCGTGGTCAACCCACTGTGGCCAACTCGCCATGGCCAACTTGCCATGGCCAATTCACCATGGCCAACTTGCTGTGGTCAACTCTCCATGGCCAACTCATGGTGGTCAACTTGCTGTGGCCAACCCACTGTGGCCAACTTCCATGGTCAACTCACTATGGTCAAACCACTGTGGCCAACTCACCGTGGCCAACTTGCCATGGTCAACTCACCGTGGCTAACTCACCATGGCCAACTTGCCGTGGCCAATTGACTATGGTCAACTCACTGTGGCCAACTCGTCATGGCCAACTCATCGTGCCCAACTCACAGTGGACAACACTCTGTGGCCAACTCATTGCAGGCGAGCTCACTGCTGTATTTAAAGTAATTAAAAGGTTATTTCAGTTTTTGTCATTCCCCTTGCATTCTGTCCCTCCTTCTGCATCCTTCCTCCAACGATTCTATTCCACCATTCCTACAATATTATTGTAACTCAGTTGTCCTGTGGCGAGTTGTCCCAGACCCGTCAGGAAGCCGTAAAATTTGCCCATCAGCCTCAGGAGAATTGACATTGTCGGGTTACTGGAGAGGAAGAATCCTTTGCAGGTAATCCTTGACTTAGGACTGTGGTTGACCCCAACATTTCCATTACTAAGCGAGACATTAGTGAAGTGAGTTTTGCCCCATTTTACAACCTCTCTTGGCACAGTTGTTAAGTGAACTACCTCAGTGGATACGTTAGTAACCCGGTTATTAAGTGAATCCGGCTTCCCCCGTTGACTTTGCTTGTCAGAAGGTCGCAAAAGGGATCACGTGACACTGCGACCGTCATAAATATGAGTCAGTTGCCAAGCGTCTGAATTTCGATCACGTGACCACGGTCGTAAGTATGAAAAATGTCCATAAGTCCCTTTTTTCGGAGCTGCTGTAACTTCAAAAGGTCATTAAACCGTTTAACGTAAGTCAAGAACTAGGAGGAGAAGTATGTCCATCTTATTTGTGTAGCCACCCATGTTTTGTCTTATTTCATCAACATGAGATTTCACTCCTCCTCTGCTTCTGTTTTGGAGCACTTACTCATTTTCCTCTGTTTCACACTGGCCTGTGGCCGAAATAAAAACAGATCATAAAAACTGGACCGCTTCTGAACAACAAAGGCTGAAAAGCTTATTTCAGGAGACACACTGGTGGTCATCATCACCGGACCTAGGCTGATAACAATTCAGGAGACTGGTTTGTAAATAACCACTCTTAAGCTTCTCCATTATCCGCGAAGAGAGTTGCAATTAGCCTGTTCCCAGAAAGGAGTTTTAAAAAAAAGAGAATAAATAAAAAATCTCTACTTTATTTTTTTTTCAGATTTGATTTTATATTTTTTTTATTATCTATTATCCTCTTTCGGGATAATTACAATTCTTTTTTTTATAGTTTTTTATTATTTTTTTAACAGAATTCAATAGTAATTATTCAACAAAAACATGTTGTCTGAGTATCTTATTCACTTGTTGTTGTTAGTTGCGAAGTCGTGTCCGACCCATCGCGACCCCATGGACAACGTTCCTCCAGGCCTTCCTGTACCATCTTCTGGAGTCCATTGAAGCTCACGCCTCCTGCTTCAGGGACTCCATCCAGCCACCTCCTTCTCTGTCGACCCCTTCTTCTCTTGCCCTCCATCTTTCCCAGCATTAGGCCCTTCTCCAGTGAGTCCTTCCTTCTCATTAGGTGGTCAAAGTACTTGAGTTTCAACTTCAGGATCTGGCCTTCTAAAGAGCAGTCGGGGTTGATCTCTAGTTTGATCGCCTTGCAGTCCAGGGGACTCGCAGGAGTCTTCTCCAGCACCATAATTCAAAGGCCTCCATTCTTTGGCGCTCAGCCTTTCTTATGGTCCAACTTTCACAGCCATACGTTGCAACTGGGAAGACCATGGCCTTGACTACAAATTAAATTCCTAATCCCTAAATCTTTTCTCTAACCATTGATAAAATAGGTCCCAAGTTTGAAAATATTCTGTTTCTTCTTTTTCTTTCAACCTTAAAGTAAGTCTGTCCATTTTCGCACAGTCTAGTATTTTTTTGATTATTTCTTCTTCTGGTGGTGTTTCTTCGTTCTTCCAATATTGTGCAAATATAATTCTTGCCGCTGTTATCACATGCAGAATCAAATATGTACTTTGCTTATCAAGTTTTTCTGGCATCATACCTAGTAAAAAAAAAATCAGGTTTATTTTTTCTCCCGTTTTATAGGTATCGTTTGAAACAAAAATAGTATTGTTGGTAATATATTCATTTTCACCGTAGCAATTCTTCCTAGCGTCGACAGTTGAAGATTCTTCCATTTTTCCAAATCAAGCTTTACTTGATTTAACAATGTAATGTAATTATCTTCTTTTACTATTGAACATCTTGCTGTCAAATATATTCCCAAGTATTTGACCTTTTTGACTGTTTGTAATTCTGTTTTTTTCTGATAATTGCTTTTTTTGTTTATCTGTAAGAATTTTTTAACGCGCTGTTGGTTTTGAATGATATAAATAGCCCAGTGGACCAATTCTTGTAACGTCAACTCAGTCATCTCGGTTTATCTTCCTTGGGGGGGGGGGGAAATCACTTTTAATTTTAGGGTGACAGCACCCAGCTGTTGACATCTCTCTGTCTTAAGGACCGAAAGTTCAATTCTGAGGCAAATGGCTTTAACATTCAACCGTTCTTCGTGTTTTTCCTAGCTAAGTTCAAACCTGAGGCACATCCGAGTGTTCGAAATGGATGAAGACGATGGAGAAGCTGAAGAGGAAGAAGATGAGGAAGGCCCTCAGGCTGTCGGCCTACCTCAAGAAGAACTCAACCAGTCAACAGACACGGTTGAAGGAGAATAAGTGCATCTTGGCTCAGCTGAGCTGGTAGATGAGGTCCCACCAAGCTTCTAAGATGGAAAGAAATGTTCATTTCGGGGTCTTGGACATTAGGGAGAAGAACTGGGGATGTGGTCCTTCTGTTGGAAAATGAAGTTATGGAAGAATTGTGTGCGTTTCCCGTCTGTCTGGTTTTTAAAACTCACATTCTGCCAACCTCTGTTTCTTGTGTTATGGCTCTACTGTCTGAATAACACAACTGGAAACAAACAAGTCTTCAGATATTCCTGCCAACATGGTTCTGCGGTTTCCTAAACTCCATTGCTTCTCTGGATTTCTAAACAAGTGGTCTCTTTTAGATGTCACAGTTTTGTCTATGTGTCACTCTCTCAAGTTTGCCAGAGTAATGTGGAGAATGGCCGGGGAAGTCTCTTAAACCAAGGGTCTTCAAACTTGGCCCTTTTATGACTTGTGGACTTCAACTCCCAGGATTCCTCAGCCAGGCACGCTGGCTGAGGAATTCTGGGAGTTGAAGTCCACAAGTCATAAAAGGCCAAGTTTGAAGACCCCTGTCTTAAACCATGACCCCACCATCACCCTTGGCGGTATTCAGAATGCGGTGTAAAGGAAAATAAAATACAGAGATTATTTTGTGATTGTGCTTTTCGGTTGCGCTTTTCATTTCACAATCCCTGTCTCATCGACACTTCCATCGTCAAATTATTTTTCAGGTGCTTTAATCCAAAACAAATGTCCTTTTACAACTTTATAGTGTTTGCCTGCTGCTAAAAAGGTAAATGACCTGTCTCAAAGAATGTCATTTTAGATAACTTCGGAGAAACTTCATCATTCAGTTTCTGGTAATTTCCAGCATTGTGTCAAGAATTATGAAGGGTGTGTGTGTGTGGTTTTTTTTTTACAATTAAGGTTTGGAAGCTTGAGGTGCCATGCAAACTAGAAAAATCTAGTGAGTTAAATTTAGGTTGGAAAACAACTTCAAGTGTGTGTCGAATAGTAGTTAATGTTTGATTTCTAACGACTAATATTAATCAGTCAGTACAATTTCTCCTGGAAACTCCAAACTAGCAAAGAAAAAAATTATCTGAACTGGATTTTTAAAGGAGTGCTCGGGACAAGATTAATTAATGTCAAAGAGTTCTTGATACAGAATTATAATCAGAATATAGTAAATTGTCACGTAAGGTACAATTGGGCATAACAACGTAGATATTGAAATAGCTTTGTACCTACATGAACATCAAGACAATACATTTCAGTTGAGAATTTGGAACAAATTCAGAGAAGAGCAACTAAGATGAACCAAGGCCTGGAGACTAAAACATACGAAGAACGGCTGCAGGACTTGGGTTTGGCTAGTCTAAAGAAAAGAAGAAATAGGGGAGACATGATAGCAGTATTCCAGTATTTGAGAGGCTGCCACAAAGAAGAGGGGGTCACATTATTCTCCAAAGCACCAGAGGGCAGGACGAGAAACAATGGTTGGAAATTGAACAAAGAGAGAAGCAACCTGGAATTAAGGAGAAACTTCCTGACAGGACAATTAACCAGTGAAACAGCTTGCCTCCAGAAATCGTGGGCACTCCATCACTGGACATTTTTAAGAAGAGACTAGACAATCACCTGTCTGAGATGGTATGGGTTCTCCTGCTTGAGCAGAGGGCTGGACTAGAAGACTTCCAGGGTCCACTCTATTCTATTCTATTCCATTCAGTATTCTATAATCTCAGTATTATATAGTGATAGTCCTTTAGAGGCAGACCAGTAAGATACCATGTATTGAAGGACATTGAGAGGTCCAAAATAATAAAAGACTTCTACTTCCCAAAATAGGTCCATCAAGAAGAGCAACTAATGCTAATGTGACCTCTTCCCAGGTTGGAAACCAAATTCAAAAAGGGTCCAGGTCATTTGCAAGTACATCCATGACATCTTGACTAATACAATCTTTCAGAGAAATATATATCGTGGTATCTAGTTTGTTTCACATGACAGTGGTACACGAAATGACGAATTGACAAAATAGACATTGTCCTTTGTCCTATGAATCTTATCTTATATGGTATCTAGGTTTAAACATTTATGACGGTAGATGACCGACTTATGTTGAGATCTTGTTGCACAAATATACATTCCAACAATGAATTCCAACAGGTTAAGAAAGGTTGAATGTAATCGTCTAAAACTCCTGTATCCAGGATTGGCCTCTTCAGAAAGGAACATACTCCAGCCTTCTTCAAGTTTGCCAGAACGTCTGTCTCTCTCTTAAGGAAGTATTAATCCAAGTGTTTACCTTTCCTCGAAACAGATGTAGAAAAAGCTTGTGACTCTAACTTGGCAAACAAGACTTCTAATTTAACAGAGTCCTAAGATCATTGCAGATGGAGTGAAATAAAATCCACTGATCAATTCTGGACGTCTGTTCCTGCTCATGGTTCAACCTGGTCCACCATTTTGCTGCATAAGCTCCACAAAGCAAGATTTTTTTTTTAAAAAAAACCCCTCTGTTTTAAAAAAATGTTTTCTCACTGCAAGGCCACCTTGTGAGTCTACAACTCAATTTCAGAAGAAGAATTAGAAATCCCGATCCTTTTATGAATAAAAGGAAGGTATTTCTTGGCAGGGGCCGTTGACTTTGGTTTCGCTGAAAATCAATAAGCGCGTTTCAAGTGATCGTCTCTGTTTAATATTCGTAGATTGGAAGAATTTTTTTTTTTGCCAGTCCACTGTCAAGCAACGTGAGTGGCCTAGGATGCACTTGGATCTTTACATTATCTTGCAGAATAATTCCTGCAGATAAGCATTCAAGAGCAAAGGTAGTGGCACCCTTCAAACAGGGTGACTTGTTTGTTCGAAACTAAAATGTCAGATTGACCCAGATTTTCCACCAACGTAAGAGTAGTAAAATTGTATTGCTTTTGTAAAAAAAAAAGATAAGATTGAGATTCTTACACGTCTTGGCACAAGGTTATGTATGTAGTTGATCTTTGGGGAGGGGGGAATAATAGAAGCACAAACCCTTTCTCTACAAATCTTAATGGTCCAGAGTTCCGTGATTTAATCAGAAAGTCCAAATCAAGATTTCAGAGAATTTAGAGGAACGGGAAGATGACAGAAGTTAGCTGTGCAGCCAGATTAAGCGATGGCATTTGGGAAGTGTAGTAAAACAGAGAGCACATGCAATAGTTTTGTCCCAATTTCACTTTCAATCTCACAATCTGGTAATCCCGGTATTCTAAGACTGAGCGTGAAATTGGAGCAAAACCTGATAGGAGAAAATATGTCCAGTGTCATATTTTGATGCTCTCTGAGATTAGTTGTTTTCTTGAAGAAGTTTCATTACCCAACTAGGTAATTGAGTGTGTGTGTGGGTCATGATAGCTGTCTTCTGGTACTTGAAGGG